AAACCTGGCGATTCCATTACGGGCGATCGGTATCGGCTACAATTGATTCGTTTGATCCGTGCATTGCGAGAAAAACGGCCGGAATACGAGCAAAGACATGATAAAATTATTTTTCTTCATGACAACGCTCGGCCTCATGTCGCAAAAGTCGTAAAAAAATATTTGGAAATGCTCAAATTTTACCGCACCCGCCGTATTCTCCGGACATTGCTCCTTCTGATTACTGGTTGTTCCGAAGGATGCAGCACGATTTGGCAAGTCATCGGTTCACTTCTCCAAAATTGGATCGCGTCCAAAGACGAGTCATTTTTTCGAGATGGAATTCGAAAATTGCCTGAGAGATGGGGAAAAAGTAATAGCCAGCGATGGACAATACTTTAACTAATCTGTTCATTCATTTTGTTTTGAAATAAATGCATTTTTGAACACAAAAAAACGGACCGAACTAATTTGTACTCCCAATATATATATATATATATGTGTGTGTGTGTGTGTGTGTATGTATAAGAAGTTGGATAAGAGAGTTGTTGAGTCAAGATGGTTGTATTATTATTAGATTTAAAATAAAGATATACTTCCTTTAATTATTTGTGCTTACTCTAGCCTCGCCGGATAGATCATACACAGTGAGAATTGAGATTGATTCTAATCGCAAACCAAGTAATCCCCTACATTGGTGACTCCGACGTTTAAAAAAAAACATTTAATTCGCTCGCAATGGCGGAAAATAATTCCGGCGATCCTGCTCAAGAAGTAGGACACGTTAGTATCCGTCCTCCAAAATTCTCTAAGGAAAAACCGGTAATATGGTTTATTCAGATGAAAGCGCAGTTTGCAACGAACGGAATCCACGTAGGACCTCATCAAATTCTATCATGCGCTACAGATGTAGATATACTAACTGAGGTAAGTGAATTAGTCACAAATCCTCTTGCATCTAATAAGTACGAAACATTAAAGCATTACGCATTTTGAGGAAGTTTCAAGATAGCGAAACGTCTGAAAATTTTACATTATTAAATCAGACGGAACTCGGCAATCAATGTCCGTCTCGTCTTTTAAGACACATGAGAGACCTCGCACAAAACAAAGTATTCACAAAGATGAACTTTTCAAATCTCTATGGATGCAACGTCTCCCAACTAATACGCAAACAGTCACTTTCTACTAGTGAGGATTCATTAGAAAAGCTCGCAACAATGGCGGATTGGATTTACGACATAGTTTCTACTAACATTTGCCTTGAAGTTACTTCCATAGCTGCAGGAACATCATTCTGGGAAGGCCAACTTTATAAAATTATCAAAAGACTAGATCGCATGAAATCAAAACGTCATAAGGCATCTCCTCGGCGACGCGAAAGATCCGCATCAGCAAGTTCTGGACACTGTTGATACCACAAACGCTTTGGTCAGAAAGCCAAAAAGTGTACTTCGCCGTGTGGTTGGAATGACAAATCCGACAAAAAAAAGGAAAACTAGAGACCGGAGTGTCAACAACGGCTGATATCCCGGATTTGATCATATGCCGTCTATTTATTACAGACCGCATCTCTCAAAAGAATTTTCTTATGTTTCCGTCATCCTTGTTTCACCAGGAAAGAAACGCAAAAAATCGAATTTTACTACTTCAATTGACTACTTCAATTGGACTTTGGACTACGCCGTGCATTCCAATGACCTTTTCGCCTGGCGAATATAAATAAATCTATCTTTGGCATAGATTTTTTTACATTTTAGTTAATCTTTTAACATCCGCCGAAGAAGATTGATTGATGGTAGCACGAGCCTAAATGTATCCGGGCAATTAGACAGCATTTCCATTTTACAAGCCGTTTTCAAAAAACCAACACAATATACGATAACTACTCAATTTCCAGAGATTGTACGAAGTGTCAAGTAGTTCCGAAGAGCATTAAGCACGATGTGACGCACGCCATTATAATCAAAGGTCAACTTGTCACAGCAAAAGCTCGTCGTCTTGCTCCCGAATTTAAAGCAACGAAGCTCGAATTCGAATTCATGTTGCAAGGATTATGTCGTCCTTCTAAGAGTTCCTGGACCAACCCGCTGCATCTAATTCCAAAGAAAACCGGAGACTGGAGGTCATGCGGTGATTTCCACAAACTTAACGCCATAACAGAACTAGATTGTTACCCGATTCCATTTCTACTGCGTACAATTTTTACACTGGGCAACTGTATTTTCAATAATCGATCTCGTCCGCTTATCAACAAATTCCAGTCAAAGAAGAGGACATACCCAAAACGGCGATAATAACACCCTTTGGGCTATATGAATTCCCATTCATGACTTTTGGATTGCGCAACGCAATCCAAACCTTTCAAAGGTTTATGGACGAAGTTGTTCGAGGACTCAAGTTCTGTTATGCTTATTTGAACGATATTATCGTAGCATCCAAAATTCCGGAGGGACATTATGAACATCTAAGACAATTATTTCAGCGTTTGCAAGAATTCTGCGTAGCTATCAATACCGTTAAATGTGTTTTTGGGTCATCGGAAGTTTCATTTCTTGGTCATCACATTTCGGCCTTGCAATATCACCACAAAAGATCGGAACTATTCAAAATTTTCTAAAGCCACAAAACATCAAGAAGCTCAAGAAGAAGTAAATTTTTGGGTATGGTCAATTTTTATCATAGATTTATACCTAATGTCGTTGTACGCAAGCGCACAATCTCCGTTAAAAGAAGCGATCACTAGGCTAAAACAGAGCGGACAAACTTGAATTGAATGGACTACGGAAAATAAAACCGTTTTTAAGAAACTTGAAGACGGTTTGTCAGTGCCACACTTCTCGTATTTTCAAATACATCGGCGCAATTTTCATTATAGACCAACGCATCTGGATCCGCGATAGGCGCCATTCTGCAGCAATTGCAGAATCAAACTTGGAAACCATTAAGTTTTTTTTCCAGAAAGCTTACTCCAGCGCAGTGTAACTACAACGCATACGATAACTTCTCGCGACCTACATATTAATTAAACATTTCCGTTTCATGCTGGAAGACCGCAAATTCTTTATGATCACCGATCATAAACTACTCATCTTCATCTTTTCGCAAAAACTCGACCCAGCTTCACTAAGGCAATGTTGTCAGCTAACATACATCTCGGAATTTACAACAGACATTCGCCACATTTCAGGCGACAGGAATATAGTTGCAGACATGCTATCAAGAATCAATTTAATCATAATGCCTGTCATCGTCGACACGGAAGACTTGTTGGCACGCGAACAAGCAGACGAAGAATTACAGCAAGAGCTGCAATCTCCTTCATCTAGTTTAGAGCTGCGAAAGTTTTTTTTACCTGAAACCAATGCTAGTCTGTACTGCGACTGTTCGCAAGACAATATCCGTCCATTCCAATGACTCTACAACGCATTTTTGACATGGTACATGGATTGTCGTATTCAAGTGGAAGGGATATGAGACGACACATTGCGCAAAAATTCGTTTAAATCAATATGAACAAAGACGTCGTCTGGGCGAGAGCATGTCTTCGTTGCCAACAAGCAAAGATCGCTCGCCACAATCGTTTACTCTCTAAAAAACTTCCGGTACCAGATGCGCATTTCGATCACCTGGATATAATCGAACCAATGCTACCTTCACATGGATTCAAGTACTGTTTAACCCTAATTGATCGTTTCTCCAGCCAGAGGCGGTACCTTTAGCCGATATTACGGACACTATCGCAAAAGCATTTTTCACAACATAGATCTCTCGTTAGAGTTCGTCTAAAATTCATTACGACAGACCAAGGCCCACAGCAACCTTATTCGACGCCTTAGTCAAGTTGGTCGGAACAAAACGCATTAGAACTACAGCATACCACCAACAATCTAATGAATTAATAGAACGCTGGTACAGATCTTTGAAAGCAGCAATTATGTGTCAAGTCAACGCAGAGTGGGCTGATGTGTTGCCAATCGTGCTTTTGGGCCTGCATTCCTCTTATAAAGAAGATATTCATGCATCAACTCGACCGCGGAAGAACTCTTCGAATTCTAGGCAAATTTTTCGATGAGAACATGCCAAACGATCCACAATTTTTCATTTCGCAGGTTCATGCAGCGAATTCGTCTCATTCCTACAACTCACCATATACGCAACAAATCATTCAGATACAAAGATCTTCACACATATACGCATGCTTTCCTAAAGAATGACACTGTTAAATACCCACTGGAGTGTCCGTATTAAAGGCCGCACCGCATTATAGAAAGAATATTCGATCAGGTTTTTACAATAGAAGTCGAAGGTAGAAGAATCAACGTTTCTATTGAGCGCTTAAAGCCCTCATATTTCGTCACTCCACAGGAGGAGCACACCAACACAAGCAGTCGAAGTCTTACAAAACCTAGTATGATAAGTTCATCCAACGATCCATTCAATTTAATTAACACTCGACCAGTTTTAAAAACTTAAGTGCCATCCAATTAAAAAGTAAAAAGTCTGTAAGTTTTCAATAGCAGCATATTTTATTCATATTTAATTGTGTAATGATTCATAAATGTGCATTCTTTCCCTTTTTTATTTTATTTTTATTATGAGGTTATATAATTTTGAAATATAACGTTTATATATATATATATATATATATATATAAATGTTATATTTCAAAATTTCATTAGTTTAGAAACTCAGGAGGGAATACTGTGGGGATACACATCTCCATCTTCCGTTCAGGTTAGAATAAGTCAGCATAGATTACATCTATCGTTTCGATAGTACACTGTCAAATGATCCTCCCACTAATGGCACTAATTAATACCTCATATAAACCAAACTAAAGGACAGAGTTTCTCTTCTTAGTAATATATATAAGAAATTAGATAAGAGAGTTATTAAGACAAGATGGTTGTATTATTATTAGACTTAAAATAAAGGTATACTTCCTTTAGTAATTGCTTGTGCTTACTCATCTAACCTCGCCGGATAAATCATACACAATGGGGACTAAGATTGATCTAATCGCAAACCAAGTAATCCACAAGCATTTTGCGATTACAGTTTTGGGCCGTCATGTCCTCTCTCAGGTTTCTCTCTGGTATATGTATAAGTGCACGTAAATTAGGCCTATGAAAATGTGGAACGTCCGTGATTCCAGATTTGTATTAGAGCTTGTGATAAGTCTCTGAAATTGACAGATTGTCTTGCCAAATCTCTTAATCTTAGTGACATTCCGCAGAAAGAAATTAGGGCCTGCCGCCTGCATTAATATGAGGAATCGACTGCAAGCAATAATCAAGCAATACGGAGGCAACACGCTTTACTAATATTTACACATATGCAGAAACACGTTGTGCAAAATCCATTCAGCTCATCGTGATGCATATCCAGTAATACAAGTAATGTCAGTAGTATATGTCAAAAATGCAAGGATAACTTTGAAGTGCTAACTTTTCGAAAAAATTTCGCAACAATTCGGTTTTTTTTTTAATTAAAAGAAAAAGTTCGAACTTTATATCGCTGTAAATGACATTCCCCAAAAAAATTTTACGAAGTTCGTGTATTCCGTCAAACTTTTCAATTTTCAATATGACAAACATACGTTCATATTTTGAGAGTTAAGTGAAAGTGAGATGCATTAAACTTAAAATCTGACCACAACATCTTAAATTAGAGACTTCAAGTTTTAATTTTTAAAAAAATCGTTATTCTACGAAAATTTTTCGCAAAGTTATCGTTAATCAAAGTTCATCAATTTTTGCCCAAAATTTGTCTATGCCATAATTTTTTTGAGGAGGGCTGCATTTAGGAATTACTTAGATAACTCTAGGATGCATTTTTGCTATAATATACGTGATATAACCACTGTTAGAAATGTTCTTAAATTTCATTAAATTTTAAGTTACATAATTTGCATTTAATTTCATGACATTACAATAAATTTAATGTATTTATAACTAAAAAGTATATTTGTGTACATATACATAAAATTTAATGTATTTTTCATAAAATTTTATTAAAAGTCTATTAAATTTCATAAATTTAATGATCGCGTTCATTACATTTAAGTAATTACTGTAACTTAATTGTCAGTTAAATCATTCATTATTTTTAATTTCGTTCATAACCACGAACTTCATTTACATGTAAAGGAAGTTCGTTACATTTCTAACAATGTATAGCTTAGAATTATCTGGACGTAATTCCTAAACGCAGCCCAGTATATATATTCTTGCTGGTTATAAAATGATATAAATAAAATGTGCTTCCTGATATTTTATAATTATTACAAGTAACTAATTGTAAGTTATACTATCGAGGAGAAAAAAATTTTGACAAAGTTGTGAACAAAATATTGGATCATCTAAAAAGTATCCGCGGTTTTTTGTCACTAGATGTGTGTTGATGGTCATATATCTAGTGACAAAGTACCGCGGATACTTTTTAGATGACCCAATATATACTGAACCTAATTTTTATTAATTCTTTAGCTATAACTATTTTTGAAAACAGAAAAAAAATCATTTTATAATAATAAATAATTTTGTTCTATGTAAATAATTTTATGTAAATTTATTGAGAAATTATAGTAAATAAATGTTATATTGTTCCACCTGAAGATAATTGAAAGTAAAATTAAAATTTAATACTTGCAATAGCAGTAACATAAGAATTAAATCTAGTAAATAGTAAATAGTATTGACGATCATTATTATTTTCTAATTAAGGGAATGTTGGAGTGACGACCGATATAGTCAATAGTACAAATTTTCTAAATTCCAAATAAAAAAAGGTCGATAACAGTGCATATTCATTTCTTACATTAATATTCTGTCTCAGTCAAACGCACACAACTTCTTCTTATTGGTTAATAACTCCTGCCTTCCATATATATTGAACGGAAACAATACGATCAGATCACGACGTTGAATTGTGCGTAAGCGTTGGATAATGTTGTCTTGCAGGTTTCGGTGTTGCGAGGCGAAATAATTCGTTATTGAAAACAAAGCCTAAAAAAGCTCCATTTCTCGTGGCGAGAGGGCAAACGACACGGAATGCCACTGGGACGGGATAGAGAGTCCGAACATGACGCAAGCGCACGCGCGCCGCGAGTTGATATCACGAATGTTTGAGTTATAATAGGCGGTCACATGCGAGATTAAAGTTTGCAAAGAGGCAACAAATTTTTGTTGAAGGCTTGCGTAAGACTTGCAGAATTTATGCTTCAAGAGGATCGAATGGATTCGATATTAATCTTCGAAGTGCAGTACGAAATGGAAGGACATAAGATTCTGTGATGGGGCCAAGGAAAATTATATGAGCTAAGTTTTGAAAGGAGGAGCCGCAGGAGCAAGAAGAATCGTCTATTGTCTATTTTTCGGAAAAATTTGATTTGAAATTATAATGATTGCTTCTTAAACGGTTGATAATGGTGATGCGGGAGAGATAAGAGTCATGAAACCATGGTTTACCATTTTCAGAATAGAAGTTACCAAAGTAAAAAACATCCTTGTCATGAGATGTCTTTCCGGTGAAACTCTCAAAATCCACATTCAAATGTTTTTTAGGAATATGAAATAAAACGGAGTACAGAGCGTAAGCTTTAAAATTGGTATCCGAAACTCTCGCGTATTGTCCTCTTGGCTAATTGATCTGCGATCTCGTTATTTTGTATGCTACAGTGAGATGGGATCCAAATGAAGTTTATGAATATGTTTCTAAATTTGGTCTCTTTAATTAATGCACGTATATAGTTTATGATATAGTTGTTAGTTTTGTTGTTATATTCTCGCAGAGCGTCAAGGACGCTTTTTGAGTCTGAGAAGATTGCAATGCGATTCAGATTTCTGTGGATAGCTATAGACAAGGCATTGTAGATGGCCCAAGCTTCAGCCGAAAACACAGAAGCGGAGGCGGAAAGTTTGAAACATGTGAAACATGTGAACATGTGTCACAAATCAACCTGAGGAGAATAAATTGCAGAGCCGACAAATGTACCATCTTCAGATTTAGATCCATCCGTGTAAAATATGGCTTGAGAGATCAGATCTCTAAAGGTGACGTCAAAGACGAGCTGGACTAATTGGGGAAGTCCAGAGCGGAAGAGTTTAAGAGCTTTAGGCGAAGGTTTAATATAGTCAATGCATGTAATAGAATAAAAGAAATTCTGAAAAGCAGTAAGAGCAGGAGTAATATACATATCATTTTTATACTGTTACATACGAAAAAATATGGTTGCTGACGGGAAACTTTTCAGTTGGTATGCATATTGTGAAAGAGTTGTGGCACAGTCACAAAGTTCTAAGAGTCGTCTTTGTGACGACGGGGTGGTCCCGTATAGAAATAACTTTAAGGAAATATGTGGAGGCGAGAAATTTGAATCTATGGTATAAGAGTGAAAGTTTAGATTCAACATGCATCACATTGATTGAGGTGAATACGCGATATCCAAATCGCAGCGCCTATAATTTTATAATTTTTCAAGGTCTTTATTGTTCAAGATCTGGTTATTGTTCAAGACAAAGATAAGAGAAGCATACTCAAAAGAAGTTCGAATCATAGAATTGTATATATAAAGAAATAAAGGGCTAGCGCCCTATCAAGTAGTTCTAAGGGCGGAGATAATAGAGTTTAACTTTTTGCCTTTGTTAATTGCATATGCCATATGTTTCCTGCCTGAAAATTTGAAGTCCAATATTATACCCAGAAATATAATTGTTTGGAGAAGGAAGAATATCAGTTTCCCCCAAGCTAGCAGTTTAACCAAGCAGTTAATATGATCTTATATTTTTTGGAAAAAATTATCAATTAAGTTTTGGAGGAGATCTCTATTGGAGGAGAACTCAGGAAGAATTGAATACTATTAAGGAAACATTCGATTGATTGTTGAGCGACTCTGGTATTAGTGTGGAAGGAAAATATGACAATGTCATCCGCAAATACACGTCTGTTAAGATTCGTTGATATCTCTAAGGTAAATATTGAAGAACATAAGGCTGAGTACTGACCCTTGAAGGGTGACCTTTACACGAGTGGTAGATGGGGGAAAGAGATCCTGTACTACAAATTGAACCTTGCGAGAGGTAATCAAATTGTTGATGAATTTAATAAAAAGAGAGGGAAAACCCAAATTGATGAAGTCTTGGATTAATATATGAGGTAAGACATTGTCAAAGGCACTGTACAGCCACTGTGCCTTGATGAAGGAGATAGGCCTTGTGAATGTGACAAGATAGTAAGGTTGGGAGAAC